ACTCTTTGAGCTAAGAACTCTTTGAGCAACCAGTCAACTTTCCCCCAACCTTGGTTCTGTTTTCCTACTGGTAGACACACCAGTTGCCTTTGTCCCTTACCAAAAAATTCAGCCAAAGCTATGAAGAACCCCTTTCTATTCCTCTTACATTCAACAACATATATTCTCCCTTCTAGTGTACTAAAATCCTGCCAGTTTACCTGCTTACCTTTTGAACAGGCTCCATCTATGAACTTTCTTAGCCACTCGATCACTTCTAATCCTTCCAGCAATATTGTACCCTTTTTCGCTTCCCTTACCTTAAGGCTTACCTTCCCCTTGATTCTCATCTCTTCGAACAGGAGATTTTTTGCTTCTATCTTCAAGGATCTCCTCCACTGACCTGCCTGCACGAACTCCGTTCTCTACTTCTTTTTTGGAAATCTTCAGTTCAAAGTAAACTGACAAATTAGCAAGTATGGATTTGATCAAAATCACTCTACCCCCCATAGAGATATAATTCTTTTTTCAACTTGCCAACTTCTTTCCAAACTTTTCCACAACAGGGTTCCAAAAGTGGCTCTCCTCTGGGTTAGCTCCTAGGGGAAGACCTAAATAAGTTAAGGGCCAAGACAAGGTGGAGCACTCTAAGCAACCTGCAATAGCTTCCATATTGACTCCAACCACACAACTTTTTTCAAAGTTGATTTTCAGATTTGAGGCCTTTTCAAAAAAAAATTATTAAGTTCTTAAGGTTCCCAACCTTCCTCAAATCACTTCCTTCACAAAAAAATATACTATCATCTGCAAACTGAAGGTGAGTCACAAACACACTATTTCTTCCTATTCTCCATCCACTCACTATCTCCTCCCTATATGCTTTTGAAATCAATCTACTTAACACATCAGCAACAAGAGTGAATAGAAAGGGGGAGAGTGGATCATGTTGTCTTAGGCCCCTACAAGCTGGGAAGAAGTCCTTAACTACTCCATTGACAATGATAGAATAATGGCAAGAAGTAGACAACCCTTAATCCACTTACTTGCACCATCCTTCCCCAAACCCACACTTACTTAGCACCACTAAGAGGAAACTACAGTACACCAAATCGTAGGCTTTTTCAAGATCCAATTTGCAGACAAAGTCTTTTTTACCTAATCTCTTCATCTCCTCCACACATTCATTAGCTATCAAAATCTGATCTACTATTTGTCTGCCTTGTACAAAACCACCTTGTGCTTGACTAATTAGAGAGGGGAGTACCACTTTGATCCTCAAGGATAAGACCTTCACCAAAATTTTGTAAACACTAGTCACCAAGCTATGCTAAACATCTTTATTCTTCTTAATTAATATAAAAGATTTTTATCAAAAATAAAGAAAAACTGAGGTCCCCCTTCCTCTTCCTCCTCCTCTCCTTCCTCCTCCTAATCCCCCTCCTCTTAAGGAGGCTTAGACCTCCTTGTGTTCAGGAGGTTTACACCTCTTGTGTTCTGAACTACACGTCACACCTCGCATCACACCTCCACAGTTTAAAACATTGATATATGACATTGATATATGGTATATGTGTGTGTTATATTTATATATGGAATATACTTATGTACATATATACCACAACTTTTGAGACAGGCCAAGCTGAGAGGGCATAAGGTTGCTTGGCCTAGGCCTGGCCCACATTATGTGCAGGCTTAATGTAGGCCTAGGCTGGGCCTAAAAGATACTTGGCTGTTCGGGCCTGGGAATTTCAAAGCCTGGCTGGGTTATGTGGACTTGGGACATAATGATCAACTCTTTCCTGTATACTACATCTGAATAATTAAATAAGCATATTTTGTCTATTTTAATATAAAAACATTTTTAAACAACCCACAAAACAAAAACCATGTCTTCTCTGATTCTGAATTCCTTGCTCATTCTCTCCAAGTTCTTTCAAAATTTAACATTCACTACTATCAACATTTTGTTAAACAAGTGCAGTCCATTGAGGGTCCTCCTCAGTCCTCATCTTCTCTTATGTGGCTACTATCATTTATAAGCATATCTTTGACTTTATTTTGATTTTTGAGGGGGAAAAAACACATCTTTGTTTGAGACAATACTAAGGTAGTGAGAAAGTAGCTATTGTAGAAAATGGGAGCATAGAACATCATGGTCCCATGAAATTTTCTTTAAGGCTGCAACTTGGGCCGAGTTGGCCCGAACCCAACCCGAAAAAGTTGGGTTGGGTTGGGTCGGGTTGATGCTCGGGTTAGGGTTAGGGTTGAAATTCATGAACCCGACTTTACTTCCGATTGGGTTAGGATTGACCCCTTGCGTTGGGTTGGATCGGGTTGATGCTTGGGTTAGGGTTAGGGTTGAAATTCATGAACCTGACTTTACTTCGGGTTGGGTTAGGGTTGACCCCTTAGGCAACCTGGCCCAACCCAAACCCGACTCTATAGTTCATGTCGTATATAAATATATGTTATATGTAATATATAACATACATTGATTTGTTTAGATGCATGATATTTGTATAGCCCCCACCACATAGTATCATGTATTTCTTTTAAGATAATCACTTCACTTAATCTGAATCAAAAAGACTAAAACCTTAATCACATTATTTAATGTTGTTTGAAAAATTTATTCTCCATCTCCTCTCTGTTGTTTGCCGCCCATAAAAGATCTATCGTAAGTCACAACTCATAATAAACTATAGTCATTTCTAACACTTGTTTTTCTGAATTTTGTACCAAAAGAACAAAAAAACATCAACAAATAAATACTAATGAAACATAGGATTAATATATATAGTGAAAGTTAAGATCTAAAACCTAGAAATTCTATGAAGTTTTAAGGGATGGGAAGAAGGTTGGGTTGGGCCCAACCCAACCCAAAATTGACTTCGGGTTGGGTTGGGTTGGGTTGAGTTAGGGTTGAAGGAATTTAGTTAGGGTTAGGGTTGGGTTGGTCGGGTTGGGTTAGGGTTAGGGTTAGGGTTAGGGTTGGGGGTTTAGAACTTAGGGTTGGGCTAGGGTTGGCCTCAACCCGACCTAACCCGGCCCGACTTGCAGCCCTAATTTTGATAGTGCATTGTTCAAAAATATGATTTTCCGGGATTCGTGAGGAAGACATTTCAAGTGACATAGATTCACCCCAATCCCTATTTTGCATTTTCCCATGGTTCTTCAGTAATAGGTTTTGGCTTTTGAGGTGGTCAGTGTCATGAAAAGAAGCCAAATGGGGTCTTGGTTGAGAGGTTTTTGTTGGCAACAATGCTGAAATTAGAAAATAACAAACTTTTATGCTTTCCACTACTCAATCTTCTACATTTTGAAATTTATACTTTCATATAATATGTTCAATATGCTTTCTTGATAGAACATCATTCAAAATTTTGCAAAATTTTTTCTTATAAAAAAACGCAAAAAGTCAATTGTATGATATGTATGTAAAGTACATGCCCATCCAGGTAAGAATTTAACATAGTAAATATATTAGGCAGTGGGCAACTACATTCCAACAAGAAAAGAAAGCCTACAAATAAGAAATTGGGAAATATCTTCCCAAAGAAGCTAACTAATTACTCAACATTTGATAACAAGTGAAAAGTTAAAATGGATTACATCTGATAAAAGATACATTTGGTGTGGGGAAGAGGGTCTGCAAGGTTCAAAGCATCGATACACCTGATATGCATGAGTATGCATATTGGGTGTTTCAATGCTGCAAGACAATGTTTTTTTAATTCTTTTTTACTCTGATATTTTCACAGGGATTGAGGGATATCAGTTTTAAGGGTATTTAACACTTAAAAATCTAATTTGTGGAAAATCCTTAAAAAAAGCACTTTGGTCGGCCAATGATATGATATGCCTGTGTCTCAGGCATATTGTGTTGAAATTTTGAACCTTGTGTATCGACAGGGGAAAGGCTACATACATCTGTCCCTCCTGAGACCCTGCATTAGCAGGAGCCTTGTGCACTAACTGGGCTATCCTTTTTTATACATTTTCTATAGGGAAAGTTCATATAAAGTTCTGAAAAATATAGTAAAAACTTTGTCAAAGTGACATGATGTGGCAAAAGATCATCTAAGGATTCAGTTACATATAAGATACTCTTTCCATTAAAACATTAGGAACCAAGATAATACATAAGATATATGAAGATATATTATAACATACTAAATGTATACAGACAGGTAACTCATCTCCACTCAACAGAATACCATCCAAACTATATGGACTTGGCTACACAAATGATGGTATACATAATCAACAACTTATGAGTGCTCAAATATTTCCTCAGTAGTTTTACCCATATCAGTGTCAACCTCTTTAACCATTTTAGGACCCATAACCTGCATTTACCATGACGTTTTGAATGGCAAGATGTTTTTAAGCATTCTTGCATAGATACGTAACAATGTAACATTCACAAATTATACATGATTTTTCTGACAATGAACACCTCAAACACGACAGATTTTGACGTGCAACTATGAAGATTATGCACAATGCTCAACTTCTATACCAGTTAATGAAAATCGAAATTTGTTGCCTTAAAAGTTAAAATTCAGTCATTCTTCTTGTTCGTTCACACGACTTGAAACTGAGTAGAGTAAAAACCCAGATCCTTTTGCTCAACTTCACAAATTAACAACAGACGACTACCCAAATTACATTTAATAACTAAAGGGTGTTCCTATCTTGCTGTAATTAGCTAATCGTTCCAAATGCCATACACCAAATTAAGAACTACAAAGAATCCTAACCATACCAAATTCCATCCATAATATAGTTCCTAATTTCGAGAACCCTAAAAGCCAAGTAGCAGAAAAAATGACATGTAAGAGCAAAAACATCTAGAAAAAGCATCGGCATCAACGAATAAGCAAAATTCCTCGAAATTTACTACTAACTAAATCAAGCCATAACAAACGCAGTGAATCAAGTCTAAAAGCATAAAAGAAAAAAAGAAAAAAGAAAGAGATGACGAAAGATGTGGAAAAAATCTGAGTTTCAAAATTCACCTATAACCCTCGATCCTTCTGAACCCATTGTTGTTATACAGACACAGATGCAGCTCGGTTTCCCCCTCCAGTACGAGAGAAAGAGAGGGTTGCAGATTACGGAATTGGGGAGGGAGAGAGACAGAGAGAGGGAGGAGCTGGGGGAGTTTGGCTGTGGCTGATTATCGAGAGGATGGAATATAAAAAGGCTCTCAGCCTAACTACTATTCACAAGTCTGAAAAGAAATACGCTTTTATAGTCTGGATAAAAAAAAGAACACTGAAAAAATGTAGACGTTCCGTCAATTTACACTCCAGGAATCTAGGGCTGCACCTTGGGCCGGCCCAACCCAACCTCGTTCCAATCCACTCTGATTTCAAAGCATTTTGCATGGGTTGGGCTCGATTTCGAGGCTCTATACTGGGCTTGGTCCTGAACCTTGACATCAAACTTTAGTTGAGCTTGGATTGAGGCCTTTTGTAATAGCCCAATTCTAGTCAATTCAACCTGACTCAATCCAACCCTAACCTACCCAATTCTAATATGTATCATGATGGAAAGGCATGATACTGAAAGAGCTTCGACCAATTAGAGGCGTTTAGTGAATTTTGATGAATATCATTTTTATGATACCGATTGATTGGTTATAAATTTTTCAAATATCATGTCTTTTCAATACGAATGCAGTTCAAACAAGTTGGGTTGAGCTGAAGATGAAGGTGTAAATCTTGGGTTCAGGCTTGGCCCAACCTGAGGCAGGCCCAATCCAAATTTAACTCATCATATTTGGATCAGGCTTGGGCAGGTTGATTGGGTTTGAAAGAATTTATATATATATTTTTACATAATCATCTTTATTAGACTTTATAGCCCAATTTAAGAATAAAATAGATTGCAAAATATATACAAATTTTATTTACAAATATACATATACATACTTTATACATATATACATATATACATAATTAGAAAAAATGATATTTGTATATAAATATAATATACATGTGAGTATTTTTTTCCGGTGGGATCAGGCCCAAGTTGAATAGGGTTGGGGTCAGGCTACCCTCATTATAAGCCCAACCCAAATTTAGATCAGGCCTGAATTTTCTGGCCCAGGCATAGCCCATAGCCCAAAAACTCAGATACAATCAATACAAAAACATCCGAGTTGCATCGCTAGTTTCTGGTATATTATGATATGATAAGTGAAAGTGCAAACCATGAATAATAAGGTTTTCAAACCAGACCAACCTAAACAGGCTTGACTCCAGCCTGCCTTGTCCCAACAAGTTCCATTACCCTATCCCAATCTTATTATGATCCCATCCCACCACAAGAATTCTACTCATGTCTACCCACGTAATACTGCAGCGACACTTCCTATATAATATTATGCACGGGAGATTACGTGGATAGACGTGATGATACAAATCGCGTTGAAACGTGTTGGGAGACGAGGAATTTTTTGTGAGGAGGAGATGCAGACACGCATCCGCCATACACCAAAGCTGATGCAGGGAGTCCGGACTATGTGATTTATTTGATGGGAGATATTCCCAATGCAAGGTTGCAACTTACGAGAGGCTATTCGAACAGTGTAAGCACTGGTTTGCACTGACCTAAGTCAAGTTTCATTGTACACGCAACGTCGTCGCAACAAAAAGCTTCGTCCACAATAACCACCCTCTTCCATGTACGTATAGTCGTTCGATTGTAATTTTTTCGGTGCCTAGAGATAAAAGATTCAAAATTAGCGGTTTTAGATGGGATCTACTAGATGCACCGTAGTCAATCATTGGTCTTTGCCGTCTCCCCACCCCACCTAACCGAGAAAACTTTCAATCCTATTAGATTGTATATGCAATCACTTTTAACGGTGGATGATGAATCCACGCCTCTTGTTTTTGTCAAAAATAAAAAATTCCCAATGCTAAATGAGGTGGCTTTAAATCCACCGTGAAATGGTGATTGTACCGAGCGAAAGTTTGCTCCCACCTATACTATACACGTTGACATTCTTTTGATTCGAGTTCAGAAGTGTCTCAGCTCTCGACTTCTACAGAGACGAAGAGTGAAAAAGGAGGAAGCAGAAGCAAAGCAAAGCAAAGATGATGACCAACGCTGACCCAGCGTATGATCGAGCATCGGAGGTCAAGCAGTTCGACGACTCTAAGATCGGAGTTAGGGGCCTCGTCGAATCCGGCATCACCACCATCCCTCGCTTCTTCGTTCACCCATCCGACACCCTCCCTCGCCCTTCTGGTCCCACCACCGCGCTTCCCTATGAAATTCCCGTTGTCGATCTCTCCGGCGTCAACTCCGACCGTCGATCGATCATCATCGACCAAGTCCGAGCCGCTTCCAGTAAGCTGGGCTTCTTCCAGGTCACCAACCACGGCATCCCCACCGACGTGCTCCACCGCACGGTTGCCGCCATCAAGGCCTTCAACGAACTTCCGGCGGAAACTAAACCGCAGTATTACCATCGGGACATGAGCAGCGGCGTATCGTTCTCGACCAATTTCGATCTCTTCCAATCCAAGGCGGCGAGTTGGAGGGACACGCTTCAGGTGAGGCTCGGTCCTACGCCTGCGGATTTCGAGGCTCTTCCGGAGGTTTGTCGGACGGAGGTGACTAAGTGGGACCAGCACATCCAACGGCTAGGAGAGACGCTGATGGAGATTCTGTCGGAAGGGCTGGGGTTGGAGCGTGGAACGTTGAAGGAGCTGTCGTGTTTGGAAGCGAGGGTTATGGCGGCTCACTACTATCCCTATTGTCCTCAGCCCGATCTGACGTTTGGGATTACATCTCACACCGATCCAGGAGCGTTGACGGTGGTGTTGCAGAACCACATCGGAGGGTTGCAGGTGAAGAACGGTGGAGACTGGGTGGACATTAAACCCGTCGACGGTGCTCTCGTCATCAACGTCGGCGACATTCTCCAGGTATTTCCTCCCTCGTCCGATTGTTGGTCTTGAGTTAGCTTACTTGGCTGAACTCCCATCGAGCTAATGACACTGTTTGCTTTGAAATTTGGTGGCGTTTCAGATATTAACGAATGACGAGTACAGGAGTGTGGAGCACCGAGTGCTGGCCAATCCGTTCCGTGACCCACGAGTCTCGATTGCCATTTTCTTCAATCCAAGCAAAAGAGGTAACTTGTTTGGACCACTGCCGGAGTTAGTATCAGAGGAAAAGCCGGCGCTTTACCGGCCGTTTCAATTCTCGGAGTTCATGAGAAGGTTTTTCACAAAGGAATTAGATGGGAAGTCCTTGATAAACTACTTCAGATTGTCTGAAACAGAAGACCAAATTGGTGAATGAAACAACAGAAATTGACGTACTGGTTCATGTATTAAACTATTCGACTGTGTTGTATGCTTGTATTCAAGGCCCCATTGAGTCTTTCAGAAACCTTTCTCTCTAATGGCTCTTTCATAGAACAGAAGTGCAAGTTTAACGGAGCTTAGTTTCTCTTCACGGGTTTCCATGCAAACAAAGAAATCCCAATGGCCACGGTGGGAGAAGAATCCTCAACAAAATCAGTGAGAGGTATATGCTAAACTGTATAAACTTTGGAGTAGCACAGAAATAATCTCAAACCTCACCGTCCATAACCAAAATCTATTAAAACTGAAGACATTTTGAGGATACAACTCAACTCCAGCATCTACTAATTCAATCCTACAATGGGTTATTACATGTCAGAAAAATTGTTCCCAAAAATTTGCTGCTTAATTAGTTCTACATAAGCCGAAACCTTGCAACTCTCTGAATTGCCCTTTGGATTGTTCTCTGAGAGATCATCTTTTGCCCTTAGCTGCCCGTTGAAGCTGGTCCATAATTAGATGTGCTACGGACTTGTACCCCTCTTCTCGAGCTGTAGATTCCATTCAAATTGCAGAAGAAACCGGATTTCATTAACAAAGAAGAAAAAGGGAATGCAAACAACAAATGGGAGACATGATACATAATTGAATTCTCTTCAAACCTTTGAAAATGGCTATCCCAGTAGGCACCATCTTTCGCTTCTTCAGACATAATGAACTATAAGAGATTGTTTTCATTAATTAGTTCTGAATATAAAATGTAAAATGTGCAGGCACGAACGAGAATAACTCATGATTCTCAAAAGGGTATGATGATAATGAATACCTATTGCATATCCAAAATGGATTGATTCCTTTTTCTTCTATGCAGTGTGGGCACATCCATTCCTTGTTCCGTTGCACCTCTTCCATGTCTACCATAGGATTTATCAAGATTAGTTTCTATTTTCTTCTGCTAGTGGGGTTTTGGTGGAGTAAAAATTTCTTCAACCTCTACCTTCGATTACAGTTGGGAGGTGTTTGTCTTGCCGTTTTACCTTGGGTTGATCAATAAAAATTTGTGTGAGAGAGGTTTTCTCTACTTGAAATGTTATGAAAATATTTGATTTAATTAATAGAAATTGGTATTTCTACCTAAAACACCAAATTTGATGTTTCTCACATCCATGCATTTTTCTAGTTGAAATGATACTTGTATATGATGTAACAACACATGTTTCTCACAAAATTGTATTTATCAACCCAAAATGCAACAAGGCAACACAATACCACCCCCTTGATGCTTGGTTAGATAAATAGAAAATAAGAAAGAAAAAGAAAGTTGGAGGAAAGTTCTTAAACAAAATTTGTGAAATTTCTTGATAAGATTCCCTCAACTTTCTGTTTCTATGCTTCTCTCTTAATTTCTTCAAACCAAACACAGACTAAAAGACCCAGAAGTGGTAATCTTAACAATTCCATGTTTATCTTTTTCTTCGTCTCCTTCAAATGGGCTTGTTACTTACCTTCACCATATCTAACTTTGAGACAAGCTCGACAAAGGACACCATTGGTAGAATGGCACACGGAACAATCTGTCTTCCCTGCGAAGCAAAAACATAGAAAATTAAAAAAAAAAAAAAATCCAAACAATTCCAAAACCAAAGAGAAGAATTCCAAGCACTCGCAGTACTTACCCAAGCATGGCTGATCTATATCAAGATTTCCGCACCGCTTGCAATCTTCTTCACCACACAATTTTTTTTGCCTGCATCAATGTATTTGAATTGCTTTTAAACAGTGTTTCTAGGGAAAAATAATATAGGTTTTGCCTGCATCTATAGGTTTTGGGTCAATGCCCAAGAAGGTTGTTGTTTGTTACAGAGAAATTAACTAATGGTTCTTAAACTAATGGGCATTGACCCAAAACCTATAATATGCCTATAGACTTTCTTCAGTTAAAGCATTTTACAAACAGGATGCAGCCATAAACTTTGCAGCCTAATCATCTGAACATGAATATGTGATTGCTTATAAATTCCTACCAATTTAATTGGCAGCTTGCCTGCTAGTTACACAATCCAGTCCAGACCTCTTGGCACTCTTATTGGTTAGATTCTAGCTAAATTCTACTGGAATCTACTTCAAATTCATACACAGACAGCACAGCACAGAAGTTCCAAGGAACAAGTAATAAATAGTTTGGTAATACGTAGATAGAAAAGTGTGAATGAACCTGCAGAAGTGGCAACAAATTCCGATAACGGGGTCGTAGATGCTTCCCCTGGTTTTGCTATCACAACGGCGAGCTAAAACATCGGGAGAAAGTCGTCTTAGCTCTGAAACATCTACATTCACGAAAGGTGCGTTCGCTCGCCTCTTTTCCTCTCCTTCTTCTCCTTCCCCTTTACTAAATAACCTCCGGGGCTTCGATTCTGAAAGAGCAACTTCGGTAGACCCAAAGAAGAGGGGTGACCAGAAAAAGGAATCAGAAAGAAAAAAAAGAAAAAAAAAAGAAAAAGAAAACAAATGAAACTCACTTATTCACTCAATATAATAATGAAAGAGAAATGGGGTTACGACCTTCTTGAGATGAAATCGGGTCACCGAATTTTCCCTTCAAACGATCAGAACGACGCAAAGAATGTAGCTCAGACTTTGGGTCGACGGATTTTCCTTTCAGTCGATCTGAACGGCGCAAAGACGTGCATCCGTAGACTGATTTTCTAGGGTACTTACGCACAGGAGTCTTGGCGGATTTCGCAGGGGAAACAATAGCTCGAAGTTCACCGACTTTCTTCTCCAGTCCGAGAGACGCCAAACGAGCCTTTTACCCCATTTTTTATGTTTCGAAGAATCAAATTGTTCATCAAAAGCAAAATCAATTATATCCAAGTAAATGCCAGTGAAAATAATTAACTTTTTTGTTTGAAATTGCTTACCTGGTTCTCTGATATTCGGGCATTTCGGAGGCTTTCGTAATCGCTCATTGCTCTAAGCCTCCCCATTGTTTCAGACTTTCAGTTTTCAATGCGAAGGCTTCTTAGATTTCTTCTTTTAGTGTTCACTGGACTACAGAGAATCGGAGAATCAGACTTCAGACAGCGGCAGTGTTGTGATGTGGGTTTCCAACGGCTATTTGTTGCATCGAGGCCGCGTAAATATGAAAATTGAAAAAAGTACTCAAATAAATGGTTGTAGATGCGTCTTCCTCCACCCGATTGGCATCGAATGATGTTTTTGATCTCTGACATGGATATCATATGATACTGATGCACCAACACACTCTCAAGTCTCAACCGTATGATCTGCTTGAGATTGGAGCATGGTCTTAGATGGGTCCACTAACAATACACGTGGTAGATCTGGATATTATTTGGATTCAGAAAGATAATGTACTATCGATTCTAGCTGTTCTACTTGCTAAATCAGACTCGACTCGGCTGCAGTGACGGAATCCGGAGCTGAGTCGGATCAATCACTTACCAACAACACTAAGTAGGGACACGTGTCCTGAGACATTCTTTCTACCCATCCCGACCTCGAACATAACCCATTTTAAACCTCCCGCCTGAACATTGCCAAAACCCTACCGCAGTACCGCTTGGACGAGTTCGCATCTCCGCCCCACCGCCTGTCGCCCCATAAACGCCCCACACAACGTTCCCCTGCACATGCCACGCGGTGGGGCGTTCCCGTGTGCGGGGCGTCTCATTAGCCCCAAAACGAGTCCAAACCTTCTTTCTTCCATATTCCCGCCCCTTAACTTCAAATCAATATTTTAAAAAATGACCCAGAAATAAAATCATTTTAGCCACCATTTTCTGGGTTGATGGATTGATTGTTCAGTTCGAACGGATGATCGTTCTGACAAATAAATTAAAAAAATAAAAAATAATTAAAAGTAAAAAATTGTCAAAAACTGTTGAACGGAGTCGACGGTTTGATCGCCTAGGTCAATAGAACCGATTGCTTGAACGGTTCCTAGGCCGAATGGTCCAACCGTCCGGGTCAACAGGGGTTCGAAAACCTTGCCTGAAATCATGTCTGACCCTGTTCCACTCCCCTCCGCCCGACCTCAAATCTAACTCCATTTCTAGCAACGACGATCACTCCAGCTAGTTCACCATTACCAGGTACACTCCAACTCATATTTTATTTTGATATTTGGTTTTTTCATTTCAAATGAAAGAAACCCTCGTTTGATATTTTGTTTTTCATTTCAAACTAAAGAAACTTTTTCCCCTCTTTCAACTCCCTCTCCAGCATCGGCAATCACTCCAACTAGTTCACCATCATCGGGTACTCTCCAACCCTCGTATTTTGTTTTGATATTTGAGGTCGAGGGGGCGGAAATATGGGAGCAAGGTTTTCGAACTACCGTTGACCCAGATGATTGGATCGTTCAACCCGAGAACCGTCTAGACAATAGGTTCCGTTTTACCCTCAAACCGTTAAAAAATCAACAACCCGTTGATCCGAGCGGTTGAACCATCGACCCGTTTAATGATTTTTGACCGCTTTTATTTTTAATTATTTTTATTATTTTTAATTTATTTATCAAAATGGGCCATCCGTTTAATTTATTTATCAAAACTGATGGCCAAAATGGTTTCATTTTCAAATCGTTTTTCAAAATATTGTATGGGAAAAAGGAAGTTTGGCAGGATAAGCTAACGGCCGTCCTATTAGCCCCGCACGCGGAAACGCCCCACACGCAGAGCGTCCGCCATTTGTCCTTTCGCACGTGGTCGGCATTCTCGCATGCTAGCCCAAAACCGAGTCAAAACCCTAATTTACTTGTTTGTCATTTCTACATACCCGCGTGCTTGACCTCCCCTGACTCCATTCTTCTGCCCTCACCCGAGCTCTCCTTCTCCAGCACCAGTGGCCACTCCGGTGAGTTCACCTTGAGCAGGTATTCTCCAAAGATATTGATCGTGCTCTGAGAAAGAATTATTCTCACCCAAAGATGAACAAACGTGGTAAAGCAATGGCCAAATCCACCATGAAAGCAGTTGTTTCTAGCAAGGGAAACGGTAACTTTACTTCGAGTCTTCCTAACTAAAACCTGATAAATATCGATATAACTTTATTGCAGGTGACTCTGGCAAACCAAGGAAGATATCAAATTACGGGATTGAAAGGCAACCAAGAAGTGAGGCCATTGAAGCTGCGTCTTCGTACAAAACAGAATTTCCACATTTCGCAAAACTTTATGGAAAGTCCAGAAGAAGCCATATGGTGAGTTCTGGTCCTTATATTTTATTCACCAAAAAAACCGAAAATTCTGAAAATGTAGTTACTTTAATTTTGTTTTCTTCACACCTGATCTGATCTGATCGCCCTTTTGCTTAATTTATGTTGGGTGATGAAATAATCAAGGTTGTTCCAAAGGCTGTAGCAAGAAAAGTTGGGATCACAGGCAAGGGAAAAGCAGTGCTGTTGGATCCTAAAGGAAGGTCATGGCGTGTGAGTTTCTCTCCAAGAACGGATGGTCGTGTAGATATTATAAGTGGGTGGGCAGATTTTTGGAAAGCCAATTGATGAGGGCGGATTTGGCCCTCCAATGATATTGTGACATGTAGCATCTCGGAACAGCTGGGTGACATCCGGAATCACTTAGGCAACAACTTAGCCAAGATGATGGTGTCCCGAACTGGCGACCTGGCATAAGCGTCGACCTGGCAACCTGGCACAGGCGCCGACTTGACGACCTGGCATAGGCGCCGAACTGGCGACCTGGCACAAGCGCCGACTTGGCGACCTGGCGCAGGTGCCGAACTGGCGACCTGGCATAGACTCCAACCTGGCAACCTGGCACAGGCGCCGACCTAGCGACCTGGCACTGGCGCCGACCTGGCGACCAGCCTTTATGCCGAACTAGCGACCTCGACCACAACTCAGGTCGGCTAGAAGCACCTCGTCACTGGCTGAAGTGACCTCGACGCAAGGAGCGACCTCCCTCGAGGGCGTGCCGGCTTGACTGAGGTCCAAGTGGCGACCTGCGAGACGTGCTCGCCAACAAATTCGGCACGCATATCCCAACACTCCTACGATCCTTGGAAGTTGGCCCACGTATCAAACATTCCGGAGGGTGGTCAACGTGCATGGCGGTTGCCTCCGGGAATCTCGAACCACTTAGACGACCTTGCGGAAATCTCGGATACGGTGCGTGAAGCCCACGCCAAACAATGCCTATATAAAGGCACCAACCCCAATGACATGGGGGGGGGCAAGTAAGCTTATTCTAGCTCTCATACTTTGTGATTTTTAGCTCGCAGTCTACTATGAGAGTACTGACTTAAGAACCGGAGTGACCTCGCCGGGTTAGCCACCTTGGGTCCTCTGACATTGATTCCTTGCAAGTCTCTAAAGAACTACAGAGCTCAACAATCAATCCAGCTCGCCACCAGGCAGCTCGGCAACTAATAGGCAGCTCGGCCCTCTGGTTAGCTCGGCAACTAAAAGGCAGCTCGGCCCTCTAGTCAGCTCGACACTCTAGTCAGTTCGTCACCTAACCTGCCTAACTCAGCCCAGTCAGCTCGTCACCTAACCTGCCTAGCTCGGCCCAGTCAGCTCGTCACCTAACCTTCCTAGCTCGGCCCAGTCAGTTCGGCACCTAACCTACCTAGCTCGACCCAGTTAACTCGGCACCTAATTTGCCCCAGCTCGGCCTAGTCAACTCGGCATCCAGGTCCTCATCCAGCAAAAGTTCACTTCGGCCTCGGAGTCATCGGCCACTTGGAAGCACACCAAATGACGAGGTACTTAGAACAAAAAATGGATACATCAATTGGCGCTGTCTGTGGGAAACGCTACAAAAAACTAAGTTCTCATCTTCTGAAAGGCTAATTCCTCTTCTTCCAGAAAGCTAAGTTCTCACCTTTTAGAAACAAAAGCTCTCACTTTCTAATTTTCTTTTTTTATGAACTCAAAGACTAAGCAGGAAGTTGATGGCCAATAGACTAAGCAGCTCTGCCGACTTTATTTCAACTCGGGTAAAGCCTCATCAGTCCTCTTCGCGAGGTACCCTTTACAAGATGAGCTCTTCGTGGCTTCCGGGGGAGTTGGCAGCCAACGAACTGCATGGACGCCCTTTCTAGTCGAGCCTTCAAGGGCTCCCGCGCGAGCTGGTGACCTAAAGTCAGTAGTGTTGCCCCCGTAGGTCGAGCTCCCAGTAGCTTTTTGTAGGAGTGGGTGGCCGACGTCATTAACGAGGCTGATGCAGCGCAGCCGTAACTCCAAAGTGCCGAACTGATAAAAGACTTCGGAACCACATAAGACCCAGTCGCCTTTTCGGCATGGGCAAAACCAAGGGTAAGGAGAGTGGATTGCGAGTTGCTCCTAGAGCCTAAAGGGTAAAGTGCCGAACTGATAAAAGACCTCAGCACCACATAAGACATAGCCGCCTCTTTGGCATGGGCAAAATCAAGGGTAAGGAGAGTGGACTGCGAGTCGCTCCCAGAGCCTAAGGGCTAAGGTACCGAGCTGACAAAAGACCTCGACACCACGTGAGACCCAATTGCCTCTTGCATGGACGAAACATAAAGTAGTTCGCATTCAGCACGAGAAAACAAAGGAAAGACTAGTTCGCTCTCAACACCATGAAGGATGCAAACTTGATTTCTTCATAGCCGACCTCCACCTCGGTTGTAGGCTCCGCATCAAATTCACTGGCTGGGACTAGTTCGAAGGGCGCGGCATCGAAGTCTACCTAGGTGGAGCGACCTGATAGAGCAGTCACACAGAACCCCCTCTTAAGAACGGCATGGGGAGCTTCACTCTTGAGGTACTTAGCCGGATCGCAGAACCTCTTGATGGTCACATCCCTAATAAGGTAGATGTCCTCGGGGTACTTGCTCCACCTCTCCTCGAGTAGATGAATTCACTCTCGAGCCCCGAAAATAAAGATTGCAAGATCCTGCACAAGGCAACAAACACTTGGGCTCTTCCAACTTGAGAAGCAAATTGGATCGACGCTTACAAGCTCATCGAATTAGTCATTCCAGGCCAAAAGGAGCAATCTACTCCCTCCGCCGAGTTACTTTCAGCTCGAGAGTGGGGGGCAATCGATGAGGGAGGATTTGGCCCTCCAATGACATCGTGACATGTGGCATCTCGGAACAACTG